GGCTTCTGGAGTGAGCCTGTGTGAACCTTATGAAGGTTCTGCAAGGGTGTTGGCAAATCTCCAATATCAATACAGACTGGAATATTCAGAGCAGCCCTATGGATAAGGACTCAGGGATATTGGTGGGTAACAAATTAGGTAAGAGTGGGCAATGTCCACTTGCAGCCCAGAAAGCCATTCACATCCTGGGCTTCATCAAAAAAATTGTGGCCAACAGGTCAAGGGAGGTGATTCTCGCACTCAGCTCTAGTGAGACCCCATTTGGAGTACTGCATCCAGCTCTGGGGTCCTCAGCACAAGAAAGACATAGACCTGTGAAAGCAGGTCCAGAGGAGGACCACAAAGATGATCGGAGGGCTGGAGCACCTTTCCTATGAGGAAGAGCTGAGAGAGTTGTTCAGCCTGGAGAAGGCTCTAGGGAGACCTTGTAGCAGCCTTTCATTATACAGGAAAGAAGAAGAGAGTCTCTTTGTTTACACCTGTAGTGACATGTCAAGGGGTAATGGTTTTACACTGAGAGTAGATTTAGATTGGATGCAAGGAAGTCAATATTTATGATAAGAGTGGCGAGACACTGGAACAGGTTACCCAGAGAAGTTGTTGGAAGTTTTCAAGGTCAGGTTGGATGAGGCTTGAGCAACTTGGTCTAATGAAAGATGTCCCTGCCCATGGCAAGGGAGGTTGAATTAGATGATCTCGGTCCCTCTCAACTCAATTCTTTCTATTATTCTACAAGTCTCTTTTATGATTTGAATTTGGATAAGAGTTTAGGGTTAGAAGGTTTAGGGTTTGGCTGAGGAACAGGGATTAGGATTAGTGTTAAGGTTAGGGGAAAACATATAAAATCATTGCTTTTGAAACACAGAAACACAGGTTGTGGTTATTTGACCTGACTGGAAATTCCCCAGTTTCCAGCGGAGGAGGGAGGGTGAGGGGAATGAGTAAGTAGAGGAGATTAATTCAGAGAGGAAATAACTGATTACAATTTGTGGTATCAAGTCTAGAAAGGAGCTATATAAGTAACAGAAAATATATAAAACCCCTCAATAATGAGAGATCTGAGAAAGCTAATATAGTATTCAAATGGAAATGGATATTTGAAAATTCCCTAGAAATGCCACAGCACTGAAGAACTTGCCATTTATTTTCTTCTTTTTTTTCTTATTTTCTGCTTTTAAAGTTATAGCAAGTTCATATTGCCTAGACTGACTTGTTTATTTTGTAATTGTTATTTGCATATAAATGATTCACTGGAATATGAGGCATGAAAAGAGTGTTGATATTAATCTGAGTATACATGTTCTTTTCCCAGCTTTCAACACATTGCCTAAGTAAAATTTTAAAAGTACATTTATACAAATTCTTGTACTGCATCTCTTCCCTGATTACTTAGTCCTTTTTAATTAAGTGCTTAAGCATAAGATAGAGGTTTCTAAATGGATAACAGATATAAATAATATAATTGAGCAAATTAAAGAAGACACAATGAAGATCTACAGCATAGCTAACTAGACAAATTTAAAATAAAGTTTTGCAGTGTTAACTTCTATCTCTCTCACTAGAAACAGAGTTGAAACACACCTCATTCTATTCTACTTTTTGTGAAGCCATCAGTATTTTAAAAATATTTCTAAGCTTGATGGCTAAAAACTAAGATGGTAGAGTCAGGCAAACAGCCTACATTTTCTTCCTACCCTCAGTACTCCAGAAAGGAAATGCTCACCACTCCAAAAGAAGTGCTCTGTTGACATCCATCTGGTAGAACACAGAGGAGATAGACAGGATTGATAAGCAGGCAAGGCTAAACCATGACTGTTTCAGCTTAAAATAGGTGGGGGAAAATAAACATGTATTAGTGTAGAAAAGTCTAGGCCATTTAATTTAATCTCAGTGTTCTCTGTTGAGAAGTCACCCTGAACTCAAGCAACAGCTTTGAGCACTGGAGTGCCATAGTTGGGTTCTGAAAACAAAAACTAGAAGGTTTTTTAGTATATTTATAAAAAAAATGGAAAAGTAGTATCTTCAGAAAACTTTGAAACTATTCAGTTCCTTAAGTTATCTGTGTTCTTGTAAGAGCTGACATAAGAAAGAAACATCAACAACAGTCATGGAATTGCTTTCACTGGCTATCAGCTGGTAAGGACTGCTGTGTGAAATGTTGGGATACACCACTAGCAGAAATGACAGTGAATAGAGTAGAAATAATTGACAGGCAAAGAAAGGAAAGGAGAGAAAGTTACCTTTGAAGACCTCAACTCAGCTTAAATTGGAACTTGAAATCCTGAAAGAAATCAAGATGTTAAATGTAAATAAAGGTTAATGCAGGAAGGGGTTAACGTAGTAGGTGACCTACCAGTTATCTCTCAAGATTAAGACTATAAAATTGTTGTTATAGTTCTTCCCAGGTATTCCTTCAATTTGGGCAAGAAAAATCCAGTGGGCTGACCATCTAGTTCTTCCTCATTCAACTCTGACTTCCCAAGAATTTCCAAATCACCCCTCTAGGAATAATTTTTTCCACTGTTGCACTTGCTACTATCTTACCTAACCTCCCCTTGTTCTGCTACACCTTTCAGTGATCTCCTGTACTCCAGTGTGGCCATATCTCACCCAGGGGTCTACCAATTAAAGACTAGAGTGATACAGAACCGTTTCTGTCGTCCTGGAGACCAATGATGCTTCTCAAATTCAACAACAGCAGTCAACAGAAATGGGAATTTACAAAAGATGACGATGTAATGTATTCACATTATGTGAATACATTGTGTGACAGACTTGACAGTGTACTATCATCTTGTTAGAATGACTTTTATCAGTGAAGTGCTATACTGAAAAATACAGTATTTCCAAACCACAGTACTGACTTTATTATTTAAATATTTGAATTAGGATTGATTCTGCTTAATGCTTTGTGATGGATGCACCCCTTAACCAAACCTTTTGTATAGGCTCAAAAGGAGGTAAAGGCCTGAGACATAGTCAGGCCAAGAACACCTCCAGGAAACCCCCAAGTGAGCACAGTCATCCAGTGAGCAATGATGCACATGAGCTTGTAACACCAATCCTGTGATTAACACACAGAAGGTGGGTTTTCCAAGACTTCTTTACCTAGGAACAAAGACAGTTGCAAGTACAAGGAGTTTTATGCATACCTTTCCCATCACATGGAATTTGACAACAAGCCAATCACTTTATTCCATAAACATGACAGCCTGAGTGATTCTCCTTTGGAGTCCCTACTAATCAGCATGTCTGCATGGTGCGATCTCCCCTTGAGCTGGGACACCTCTCAAGGTTGCTCCTTGAGAAGCTTTTCTACTAATGACAGATTGTCAGATGAGTCCAATTCGAATTCTCTCTAAATTGCAACTGGACTGCACACTAGTGACTCTTCCATTGAGCTGGGATGCCTCTCAAGGTTTGAGATTCCTTACATAAGACTGAGAAATATTCCTTTACCTGAAGCAGATAGACCCTTTATTCGCAACAGATACTCAGTAAGTTGCTGATAACATGCTGAAATAATACTAATGAAATCCATGTAGTTAATTCCTTTAGGTATAACCTGTTATCCAACTCTGAGACTAAGACAGGACCTAGCTACACATAAGCTCTATCAGGAGTACAGAAAGGCAGAGAATCTACTCTGAACCTTGTCACTCAACACGAGGGTCTTCCTCACTCCTTCTCGTCTTTGGTCTCAGTGTAAATCATTCTAAAATTATTCAAATTCGAATCTTTTTAGTATGTTTCATCCACGATAGAATGAAACTTGTCACTGAGCTTCGTTAAATCATGTTTATAAATGTTTATTAAGCCCACTTTGCTAAAATCTTTCCTGGTGATTCTTTGAGTGACCATAAATCACACATTTGTGACAAATTGGTGTAGTTGGCAGGATCCTAAATCAGAATTTGTTACATCCTTCTGCACTGGAGTGGATTCTTTAGAAAAATATTCAGCTGATTTACATGAAGTGCACAGGACCTGGGAGCAATGCAACCAAACAATAACCTCTCCAGAAACTGTTGCTGTATATGTCAGATAGAGTTACATAGACCTAAGGTTTTCTTTTAATTTTCTTCATAATGACTGTATTGAAAGACAGCATCAAGACATGTGTGCAGCATCCCTAGAGTACTTCAAAATCAAACGAAAGAGAAGAAATTTAGCTGATCTAAACTGCCGTGTGACAAAAGAACACTGGACAATCCTGAGGAACCAAAAACAACACTAGAAAACCGTCTCTGCAAATCCTATAGTTTTCAAGGACTGCGAGGAACCAAGACCATAAGGCAAAGGGCACCGTCTTCTATAGGAAACAGCCATGCTGCACGCTAACAAGTAAAGCAAGGTTTTCCTTGAACTATTCCAGCCTCTGCATAAAACCCTGCACATCATGCACTAAGCTGAAATAATGCCAGGCAAATGGAGCCTGTCTGCACGAGCTGCCCAGTCTCATAGAGAATGCCTTTCTCTAAACACCTCCGGTTGGCCAGCCCTTTCTGGGTGGCCTGGCTAACAATGGGTAAGTGGAAAGGCCCGAGAGAAAGCTTTGTTTGCTCCGCTTTCTTACGCTGACTGTTGCTTTCCTCCCTCACCGTGGCTTCATGTTGGGCATAGTTCTGCACCCAAGGGTAGTGGGGGAGCCTGTCCCCTGCCATGGGCTGATGGTGTCTGCTATAAGGGGCCCCTTGGATTTGAAGAAGAAAATTCTTCGAGACATCGGGAGCGGGACCAATACAGATGCATTTAGACATATGTGCTGGGAGTGCCGAGAGGTTTTGCTTTGAGGTGAGCTTTTCAGCTTTGCCTGTGAGAACCGCTACTACAGAGAAAAGTCGCCAGCCAGTGCAAGGCCGCAGGGGCCTGCCCGCCGCCGCCGCGCATCCAAAATCCGCTGCACTGCCCTCTGCCTGCGAGGAACTGTTCCGCCAGAGGACTCTCCCTCTCTGACCGCCTTCTGCCCGGGCCCGCCCCCGCCCCCGCCCCCGCCCCCGCCCCCAGCCGTGCCGTCAGCGGCGGGTGGTGCTGCCGCAGCGAGCGGAGGGGGGTCGCGCCGCCATGCGATTTCGGGCAAAGATTGTGGATCTCGCCTGCCTCAACAACTTCAGCCGTGAGTATGGCAGGTCACGCGGAAGGGAGGCAATGCCTTGCTAAGCGGCTGGCTTCGACTTTCCCGGGCAAAGGAGAGAGGAAGGGAGGTGAGGACCGGGCCGCGGGCCCAGAGGCCTTTCCTGGGAGGAGGCAGCATGAGGCGCTTTCATTTGCCCCGAGATGTTTGGGAGTTTCCGCAGCAGCACGAGCTGCGTTTTTGGTCTGAGGGTTTCAGCCCACAGGGACCGGGGTGTGTGGAGCGGTCACCTCTGTAACGTCCCCCTCCCTCCCTCCGGCAGGTGTAATTAACACAATCTCCAAGTTAACCAAGACGTGCACCCTGCGCCTTACTGTCTGCAAGTTGTATTTCATCCTCTCCGATAAAGTAGCAAATGGAGGCGCGAGTATGTGGTGTGAGCTGTGCCAGGTGAGCCCAGGGAAGTTCAAAAATCACATGGTGTTGAAAACCAGAGCATGCAGTTGGGTTTGGTGTATGAGGCATTTCTTGCAGCCCTCACCTGAGGTGTGCCAGATCTCTTAAGGCCTGTCTGGTTACAGGCATTTCAGGTTAGATATCCTCTTTATCTCAATTGTCTCTTCAACTGTAAAGCTTTGGTGTGTGCTGGCCCATATGGGCCTGCCCAAAACTGGAAACAGGAAAGCATAACTCACTGTTTTGTAGACTGATACGTGTTAGAGGAGAAAATAATAGATTTAGAGCCTGAAGCAATGAGCCTTCATGCTTATGCAGCCTGTTTTGATTCCAGCAGATGATGCCAGGCAGAGGAGAGTTTCCTGTTGTTCCTGTGCAGTTCTAGGCTTAAGGTCTGATGGATAAAACTTGCCCCTCTCATTTGCTTTATTTTATTTCCCAACTTTCAAAAATTGTAGGGGAATTTCTTCGACGAATTTCAGATGGAAGGAGTAGCTGCAGAGCACAATGAAATCTATTTAGAGTTGGTGCCTGAGAACCTGTCAAGAGCATTAAAAACTGCCCACAGTGCTAAGGCAGTGAAGATCAAGTTGACTAATAAACACTGTCCTTGTCTCAGAGTTGCTGTGGAGTTAGTAAGTGCAACCATGCTTTTATGTTCATTATTAAGAAAAATTAATTCTTTAAAATTGTGCTTTTCCTAAGATCAAATGATAATCTTTAGTGTAATTCTAGAAAACTGAAAAAAAAATTGTGCTATTTTCCGTTTCACTAGCCTTTCTTGCCATTATGGCTGGTAGCACACAGAACCAGCTTTGTATTTTCCAAAAGGCAAGAGGGAGGAAGAATGAAAGCTATGTGATTGAAACAACTTTCTCTAATGTCTTCTTCTTTCCATTACTTCATTCTCTATATCTTCTGTGGATTATTGCCTTTTTATTGAAGCCATTAGGTTTCAGTGTAGTGTTTGGCTCTAGTGTTTTGCATTTGATTATCCTGACATTGCATTTCAAACTGCTGTCTTCTGATTTTTTTTGTTGTTGTTGGTAACACCACTGATTCACCTCTTCAGGTCTAAGGATATCTTTTATATATATATATGTATATATATATATACTTATGCATGATACCTCAGAAACCTTTCCTCATTCAAAAGGGAAGTCCACTTTAGAGCATATTGAGAGGAACTTAGGAAAACTGGAACTGACGTCTGGGACATGTAGTTACTGCCCACAGTGGGTCTGAAAGCTTTAAATTTGGAATTCAAGTCCTGTTTTTAACTGCAAGAGCATCCTCTTTTTCCCTCAAGCCATCCTTATCAAGCAGCAGTAGGATTGTGACACATGACATTCCTGTGGGGGTTATTCCCAGAAGAATATGGAATGACTTCAGAGAGCCCACTATGCCAGACTTTGATGTAAGCCTCTGTTTTTATATTCCGTATGGAAAGGGGAGGTTGCAATTGGAATGCTACTGCTACAGGGTATATACTGCTGGGATTTGGAAAGGAGTTGAAAAGAAAGAGGGAAGACTGGAGGCTACAGATTTGGAGAGGGATGGAACATGGCTTCTGTCTTGACAAGAGAGTCCAGAACTTGTGAAAACAGAGCAGATGGTTATCAGTTTTTTCTGTGATATTCAGAGTGGAGGAAGGGAGGAGCAAAGGACTTGCATGTCTTTAAAGTGGAGCATCTCTAAACCACACAGTTTTAGGCTGTTTGGGCTGTTTCTGCACCAAATGGCCCAAATAATCTGTTCTTTCTGAAATTCATGGCCTACCTGGCAGAGTTAGAGATACGTGTGTTTCCTCCTTTTAGATTTTTAGATATCATCTCTATATCTTTTGTGACTTTTAGCAGAGTTGCAAGGAAAGGTCTTTGTGCAAATGTGCTCCTGTTTGAGGTTGTGGGTGCCTGTTACCTCTAAGCTAAGAGTATTTAAATTTTGAAGACATACAACTGAGTAGAAACTTGAAGAATTTTGTTCTGTTATTTCAGATTTACACTGCTGCAGTTCCAGAAATGAATACAGTATCATGGGAATCTTTTTCTTTCCTTTTTGGCTATAGTTATTAACTACTTAGTTACACAGGTGTGTACTTTCATGTGAGCATCTGACCTGCAAAAACCTGTCTCTATTTTGAACACGTATTTGGAACATTATGTCTGAAGCAATTGCTAGAGTGCAGTTGCCTGTTGGTATAATGGGAAAGAGTTCCTCCATTCTGAGACATTTGCTGATTTCAGATAAATATTGTGCATCCTACAAGCCATAGATAATTCAGTCCAAACTAAGATAGAATTGAAAGGAAAAATAAATGTGTCACATCCCAGACACACATGAAAAACTTGTGCAAATGAAGTTCTTATGTCTTTCTAGGTCAGTATTTACCTACCAGTGCTGAAAATAATGAAGAGTGTTGTGGAAAGAATGAAGAATCTCAGCAATTTCATTGTAAGTTAAGGCACTTCAAATATGTATGCTACAGACCTTACTTCAATAGGGACGTAACATTTCACTGTTGCCTAAACTGGTGACACCACATTATATCTTATTTTGGGATGAGACAGACATTGAAATCAAGGCACCTGAAGGCTGTGTGAAGTTGAAGAGAATGATGGGATTTATTTTAGGATTTACACTGAAGAGCTTCGCAGAAAGTGATACTCTTTGTATTGAACTCTTGAAAGAACAAGGCATTGTGTTGCTACAAGCCACTCTTTGTAGCTGATAAGAATTTACAATCCTTCAGGAAGCTGGCTAGAGACTTTCTAGGTGACTTCATTAAAGAAATGAGGAGTGAGTCTTGGGTTAGGTGTCTGTGTGGATGAACTTTAGGTAAACTTGAGGTAGGATTTAAAGGAAATTCTGCTAATAGCTCCTGGATGACAGACTGTGCTTTAGGCTCTGACATGGTGGGTTTCCAGTCTCCTCTGGGTTTCTGGAGTCCTGGAGTGCCTTCCATCGAAAGAACCCCTCTGCAGTTGGACATAAAAAGGCTTTGGGTTTTTTATTTAGTTGTTTTTGCTCACAGTCACAAGAATTGATTAACATGGAACTTAGTAAGTGTAGAGCTTTGAAATAGTTTGGTTTTGGTGCTGTTTATACCAGTTTTGATAAATAGGACATTTTCTGTTAACTGACAATCCTGAAATTGGGACAGTCTCAGTTTTCCAGACTTGGAAGAGTTGAGAGATTACCCTGGGTTTCTGGCAGTTTTGCAAGTGGCAGTCATCCTGAAAATACACTTGAAACTCTTTTTCTTTATCAGTCTTTTGGGGGACTTAATTTTTGCTTTCTTCCCCCATGTCCTCAGTGGAAATGCCTACACAAAATTAAGCACAGGGCTTTGTTTCCAGAGCTAAGGATCTTTTCTCACATTGGATAGCTGTATGATGGGATCGAATTTGGTGTTCAGCAGCACTCAGAAGAGGTAGTGTATCAACACTGGGCATACCCACTTTACTAAGTGCCTTGCTTTCATGTTATTAAAGAACAAAAACATCAGTTATTACAATTCTTTTTGCTAGATGCATCCTGGTAATAAAACTGGTCAAGATCAGTGCTGCAAAATGGATTTTTAGAAGCAATTTCAGATAGTTGGCCCATTGTTTGGGAGCTTGGCCTCTCCATTCTATAGGAGATTCTGGTTGTGAGGCATCTTTTTAAAAATTATTGAGAATTCTTCTAATCACAGAAATGAAGTGCTTAGTTATGCTTTAGGAATCCTCTGATCTGCTTGGGATTTGCGTAAGGTCATGTGTAGTCTCCTTCTGGCTGGACCCTTGGTTAGGATGGAATTTGAAAGCTTTCAGCACTCTTCCAGGATTTCTAGTGGTTCAGAGTCCTTCTTAGAGTTACTGGTCTGATGCAGTGGTTGTCTTTAAGTTTTCTAAAGCAGCTCTGTAACTGCATGTCAACTCCTGCTGCATCCCATATTCCGTGAGTGTCATACAGACTGTGAGGTGCCTTTCTATTTGCGGAGGAGCTGAATGGAAATGCAGGAATCCTTGCGTTTCTTCAGATTCAGCTTCTCATTTCTAAAGCCTTTTTCTCAGCACATGAATTTCCCAAAGTGAATACTTGTTCTAAAAGTACTGTAGAGCAAGTAAATTTCTTTCTTTTCATAATTTCTGAGAGTTTGGTCTCGGATAATTCATACAGGAAGGATGAGAAATACACTTTGTAGCCGAACATTTGAATGTTCAAACCATGTTCAGAAAGTATGGTTGACCTGCACTGAAGTGCTTCTGGAAGCTTGTATTTGAACAAAACTGAACTGTATTCTTCTGTAATTCTGCAGTGTAAAAGTGGGTTGCCTAAAATCGAGGTTGATTGTGTTGCAGGTGATTGAAGCAAACTTGAGTGGAGAAATGAACTTGAAAATAGAAACTGACTTAGTATCTGTAACAACACATTTTAAAGACCTGGGAAATCCTCCCTGGGGTATGTTTCTCTGTTTACTACCTCTTGTGTCTGTCTGATCTCATTACTTAAGTGTGTTGATTATAACAGTACTTACTTTTTATTCTTTAGAAAATAGCATCAAGTACTTCAAAGTCTTCAAATGAAATCTTAAAAGAAAACGTGGCCTATGGCCGTTTCATGTTTAGAGGGGTGGGAAATCTCTTCCAATATTGTTGACAGCTTTGTAGGAAAACTGGGCTTTCTTTTCCTTGCACTACTGTTTCTTAAAAACAAGCCATTTTAGTTCCAATGCTTCAGCAGTTTTCAGTTGTGTCCCTGTATGTGTTGAAACTCCTTATTTAAGTGTTGTGTTCTTATGCTTTTAGCATCAGAAGATGGGTGTCAAAGTTCTGCTCAAGGCAGAAATCTGGAAAGTATGGCTGAGGCACGCATAGACATCAAGAAGCTGCAGCAGCTGCTTGCTGGACAGCAGGTCAATCCTACAAAAGCGTTGTGCAGTAAGTTCAGCAGCTCTGTTTGCAAACTCCAAGGAGGGATGTTTGCTGTACTTGTAGTCTCAGCAGAACAGCATATCCTCTGTTTTGTCTGTTTAAAACTCAACTATTTTTATTGTACCCGATGACTTTTAATATTTATATTTTTAGGCAGTAAGCTTCAGACTTAAGGCATTTGGGGAAGAAAAAAAATAAAATAAGTCAAGCCCTTTTATCAAGTTGAATAATCAGACTGACAAATCATGGGTGTCTTCTTGTCTTTGTTTTGAAGTTGTTATTTTTATTATTATTTTGAGGTATTATTTTTTGGAAATCCTTAGGTTCTAGTGGAGAAACTGGAATTTACTGTCATGTGGTTTTTTTTTCCCCTTTGGATGCCTTCTTACATTGATTCTAATACCAAAATGCTTTTTATACAGCTAGTGTTTCTAGCCATAGAAACAGTATGTACTTTCTAGCAGAAGGCTATGCAGGGGTCTGTATTCTATTTTAATAACTCGGTATGCTTTTCCTGAGAACATCTGTGTATTATTGTTTAGTGCAGATGCTAAGAATTTCCCAAGGAAGATTTAAATAATGGGTATAGCATTATAAACCTATACCTATTACATATTTGCTTTTTGGTATCAGCTTTCATAGACTATTAATGCTTCCTAAACCATCAAGGACCTGAATATGTCTAGTCATCCTTCTGTCAGAAGTGGTAAAAGCATTGTATTCTTATGGTGGCATTCTGTAGAAGATGTAAGTATTTTTCCTGCTTTAGGATGGATTTATTTTTTAATTTCTTTTCTCTTTTACAGATATTGTAAGTAAAAGAATTGTTCACTTCATCTTGCTGCATGAGGATGTTTCACTTCAGTATTTTATTCCAGCACTTGCCTGAATATTTTGGAATCTTGAGCATTTTCCAACCTGAGGCCTTTTCCATGAAGTCTGAAATCTTTCCTGAATTGCTGGAGTATTTTCGCATGATACACTGTTAGAAGCAGCCATCAGATGGACATTATTTCAATATTTATGAAATTATTCATAATACCTCCTCATCCAGAAAGCCGTTTTGGAAAGACGTACCTCTGGGAAGCTGACATATTGCAGTCTTAAGGGAAACAAAACTGAAATTTGAATGTGCTTTTGGGATGCTTTGAGCTATGGGGATGGCAATGAAGTATTTTGGTTTTGTCAAAAAACATAAAGGTAGAATGCATCTCTGGAGCTGCTGCTGTGTGTATTCAGTATTGGGCAATGCAGCTCCAAGTTAAGAGGTCTCTAAGCAAGCCATCATACTTCCATGGAGCAGGAGAGCCCTCTGGAGGGTTGCAGATTGGTATTTGCCTAAACAGGTACACACAGCCCTCCTGAAGTGGTACTAAATTGAATTCTGTTCCAGTAGCGATGTATGTGAACTTGATGCTGTTAAATGTTGTGCAGCAGAAATCTAACTGCCAGCAAGTAACAAGATATAACAGATGCTAAGGAGCACCAACAGTTCAGCAGCATCTCTTTTTACCTGGTTGTATCTTTTGATCTGACTTGCTCCAACATAACTCAGTAGCTCTGTGCTTAATCTTTGTTTAGCTCTTGGCCTGAGAGGATGAGCTAAACAGTCTGGATTACTTTGCTAATGTGGGCAGTGAAAATCTATGTACAAAATGAACGTCATATGAGGACATGCATGAACACGGCAATTGGTGTGAACTAAAGGGCAAGTTATCTGTGAATCACATTTTTTCCCCTTTTCAGATGGAAAGCATTGTACAACATGTGTTGTCATGGTGTCAGACATGGTGAGATTGCATCTAGGCTCTCATGCCAAGCAGCCAAGAGCAAGACTAAGTCTCATTCATGGGAGTACTGCCCCTTCTTCTACTTCCTAGTTATCTTATGAGGTCTTTTCTTCCTTATTCCATGTGTGATTTATTTGTTATCTGGACATGTTCCATATAGCTCTTAGTTGTTTTAGAAATAGTGAGTGAGTTTTTGCTGCCAAATGTGACTGGGAGTTTCTGCTGGGAAGTAACTTGTTATGGTCAGAAGTGCTGGGGTTTTGGTTGTTTTTTTTTTCAAAGGGCATTGAGGGTAAGGGAGCAATGAATCTTTTGTTCTTGTAGATGCAAAGGGTCAAGAGAAGGCTGAAAGAGAGGCAGTGGTCTGGAGATCTTACGTTTCTTTGCCTTCTTTCACTATTACCATCAGACTAACCAGGAAGCATCTTCCAAATCCTGTTAGTTTTCATGGGCAGCTTCAATTGCGCCAAAAATCTGTGTAAAATGAAAGTAGGTGTACTCCAGCTTACAGGAATTGCATGGTAAGAGGTATGTGGTAAATATTCCTGGGTTTTTTCCTGGGGAGAGGGAAAAAACTATCAGAATGCAATACAGAACATGCACTATGATGGTAGGCTTTGAAATGTTTGCATTTCTGTTTGAAAAATGTGTGTATAACATAACCTCATGGAAATTACTTTTTCTGGTATAGTATAAAAACTAGTAATAATGACCTCTGTGCAGGCTTTGCAATTGGTAGTTTTAAAAGAGATCAGAAGTTATAATCACAAGAAAATGGTTGCCTTTTTTTTTAAATAAATAAATAAATAAATAAATAAATAAATATATATATATATATATATATATATATGAGAGTAATGCTGGTACATGTCAAGAGTATGCAGTGACATGTCCATTTCATATTCTGGAGGGGAGGAGGCTAGACGGAGCAACAGGTGTAGTTTCTCCAGCCTCAGTACTTTCTTACCCTCCTCGTCTAAGTACAGCACATGGATACAGCTCAGACCTGCCATCCAGTTGACCATCCTGATCAGAGGGAAAAATACTACTTATTCAGGTTTAAATCAGCTGTCAACTGTGAACCAGTCGTCAGAGCCCTGAGGACAGTATTGGGCCTTAATGGCCCTAACCAGTCTCACCAGGGAGACTGCCCCCCATCCATGGGCCCACAGCTGGTGTTTCAACTCTGTGTCATCCTGTACTCCCCTAAACTATGCCTGGTCCCAGCCCTATAGGCGTTTGGATTTCCTGGATTGGCTTCACATGGGAGTTGTTGCTCTCACCACTTGGTTCTGCCTGCCTGGTTTAGGTTCTATGAGCCTATGCCCCAGTTTTACGGGTGCTGCCTAGCCTGCATTGTGGCCATCCTCTGCTTCTGGCTTCCTCAGTCCTGGGACAGCCTCACTTCCTGCTCCCTAACACCAATAATGAGAAGAACTATTTGTCATTATCAGCCCTCGTTGGTTCCACATGGTGAAGCAATTGTTTTATGCCAGAAAATTATTGTTGTTGCTTAAGCCACCAAGACAAAAAGGTTTGGAGCTGCTGATGGGACTAGAAAATAACTAAGACAATTCACCTTCTCTTCAACGCTTTGTTCTCTGAACACACATTTCTATTACAGGATGTAATCTGATTACCACCTTCAGCAGCTCTGGCTCAGGACTTCTGCACAGCTACTGGAGGCTGGTCTAAGGTACCTGTGTACCAGGACTGTGTTTACCCTGGGCTGCATGATGTAGTTGCCACTTTCCCACTTGCTGGTTCAGCTGGAAGTGAAGCTGAGCTTTTGTCTCAGAGACATGTACAGACATGCACACAGGACACTGACATGGCTACTTACAGGCTGCCACAGACAGCTGCGTCTTTAGCTGCATCTACCTACAGGACCTATGTTAAACAAGCCCAGGCGGCCACATCCCTTTCCTCCCCTTTGTCTAGCAAAGGCAGAAGGGCCGTAATGCAGGCACACACACAATGCTCTCTAGGTTCACAAGCACATGTTCATAGATTCCTCGAGTACTGGCACTGTGTGCCTAGCACCCTTGCACAGATCCTGGCTCTCTTACGTGCCATATTGGTCCCTTATTCACTGTCTTGTCCAGGTTGGTGCTCACTAGTAACGTTCACACTCTCGTTCCACAGGCATCCCATACTCTGAATATAATCACAGACCCTTCACCTGCCTAATACCCCAGCCTGCCCCAAGCCCTCATGCTCACTGGCTCATCGAGCTTTGAGTTTGGTAGCAAATGCTCACCCCAAGCACACCTAGTCTGGGGAACGCAGACATTTGACCTGCATCATCCAGCATAAGATACGTGGGCACAAGGTACATCACCTACAGTCCGGCTCTAGCCACAAGTACTAAGCTCCACACCTGCCTCAGTCATGGCAGTTCCACGCAGTACTTGGTGTTTGGGACACACACCAGTGGCTGGTGGCTGGGACCCCCACATTCACTCCAGTAGCTGACACCACAGCCCTGAGGCACTTACACCTCCAGTCTTACTCTAGCAGCTGGCACCAATCTCACTCATGCTGATCCCATCTGTAGCTGGCACCTAATCCTTGCAGCACATAGACACACAGGAAGGAGAGCGAGGTAGGCTATCCAGAGATAAGGAAGAAAGGAGTTAATGAGAAGATAGAATAAATTTGCAGTGATGAGTGTGTTGACTGACTGCATTTATAGGGCTTTCTGCCTACTCTCCCTTTGTTCCTCTCAGCTCTCCCTTGCCCTGCACATTGCCTCATCAGTTGTCGTATTTCCACCCACTCCCTCCAACATGCTAGCCCCTGAGGTTTGCCTCTTTATAATTTGCAGCGTTCCATTTTGCCTGTGGTGTGAGTTGACGTTGATAAGCAGCTACTCAATCACTCACACCTGGTGGGATGGGGGAGAGAATCAGAAGGCTAAAAGTGAAAAAACTCTTGGGTTGAGATAAAGCAGTTTAATAGGTACAGCAAAAGCTGTATGTGCAAGTAAAGCAAAGTATAGAATTCATTCAGTACTTCCCATGAGCAGGCAGGTGTTTAACCATTCCTAGGAAAGCAGGGCTCCATCATATGTAACGCTTACTTGGGAAGACAGACTGCATAACTCCAAATTCCCTCTCTTTTCTTCTGCTTTTCTCTGAGGTGAACACAATGCTGTATGATATGGGATATCTCTTTGGTCAGTTGGGGTTAGTTGTCTTAGCTGTGTCCTCTACCAACTACTTGTGCACCCTCAGCCTATTTGCTGGTGGAGCAGTGTGAGAGTAATGCCTTGACACTGTTAAGTGGTGCTCAGCAAAAACAAAAACATCCCTGTATTATCAAGAGTGTTTTGGTCACTGTCCTAGTTAGGACAGCTGAGTTCATCATGGTATGGGTGTAACCCAAAACTGTGTATTCTATAGCCTTCCATGCCATTTCCCAGAAACTGTTGTCAATAGACTATTAGCACCTCTGCCCATAAGAGCCTGACTCCTCAGGCTATAAACTAGGTGTTAAGAGGCCTGTGAGATAGGAGGATGCTCTTACCTTTTATGGAACTCCCTGAGGGAAAGAACTGACCATTCCTGCCTGAACTGGAGAATATATAAACCTGGAGTTTTCAGAACTTTTCAACCCGCTCGTGGGATCCAGAAGGAAGACTGCAGCTCGTCGCTCTCGACCTTTGCTGGACTTCAATCACCGCTTCTGACCAGACTGCAACAGCTCTCCCACCAGCAGGTTTCTCCCCTCTCCCTTTACTTTGGACTCAAGCGGGGCCCAGGGAACACCACTTTGTTCATGCCCCAGGGTACCAGGTTGTACATGTGGGTTTTGTGGGTTAGGACCAATTGTTTGTTTGTGTGATTGTGCTTGCTGTGTTGTTTTAATAAATTGTTATTCTGACTTGTGGTCTCTCCTTTGAGTTGAGTTCATTTCCCCTGCTGGTTAACTCTTAAACCAGCACAGTCACAAATCCAGAATATAGCACCATATGAGCTACTATGAAGAAGACTAATTCTGTCCCAAACAAAGCCAATGTAGCCTGCCATTTCTTGGTAGCCCAGCAATTATTGTGAATAACCAGATGTTTTTGGCTCTATTTTTTTCTGGTCACTGTCTTTGTTAATGGTAATTAATCAGGGTTTATATTTGTGTGTTTGTCTCCTTCCTTTTCTTTTTATCATCCAATATAGGCTGTGATAATCAAATAACCTTGGAATAAACATTGTGACACTCCCACATACTCTGCCTCTTATAATATTTCCATCAATTTTGTGTCCCTTGATGTTCTTTTTTACAGTTTCCTCCTCTTTTTTTTTTTTTTTTCGCATGGTGTGGAAATTTACTTATAACCTTTTCTTGTTTTGCTTGCTTTCTGGTTACACACTACATTACTGATCCTTATTTTAATGCTGCTTTTGACAAAGCCCTTGCATAGAGTCTGATTTTTTTTAAGACCACGGGAATTCAAAAGGAGTGAAATTATGATTAGAAAGAGAAAACAATAGAAGATACTCTGCATTCCTAAGAAAAACAAAGCTGGGAACAAGCAATGGACCTCAGTTAACACTTGTGACAGGGTGAGATTTTTTTGTAGTCTTTCTTAAATGACAGTTCTCAAATGGGCACAGGGCAGTGACTAAATGTAAGACTGAAATTGTTTCAACTTTGTAAGCTATGGAAAAAATATTGTATCTAGAACAAGCATCATAAATGACCCAGTTCAAATAATTTAGACACAGACTGTGGTATGCTGAACTCAGCTGAGATTAGGTGGCTAAATAGCTTACGTGATCTGGACTTCAGCATCTCTATGTTCAGTGCTTCATATGTAAAACAATAATCTTCCTACTATACAGCTGGGTGCAATATGGGGCAAATAAATGCATGAAGAATTTCTGGTGCATTTGGCTTCTCTGATAGAAGCTTAAATCTAAATTCTGGCTTTCGTAGGTATTATGTGGGGTATTTCATAGGTATTTATGTCAGGGAAACAAACTTCGTTAGCCTATGTGGGCTGGTACCATAAATGTTTGGCTCTCCTTTCCCTAGAATGGGAGGATGCGTGTGTTCAACTCCTAGTTATTTAATAAGTAATCTCTCACTTTGTGATGTACTATTGATGATAATCTTAAGCACAATTTATTGCAGTTCACTAGAAGAATATTGGATTTCCCCACTTTTCATACCAGGTTGTTGGATTTTCCTTATCCTTAACAGATTTAAAGACTGTATTTTATGAACTTGTATGGTTCACTGTCACGCCATTTTAACTATGGAAGACGTCAAATTGGAGCTGATTGCCTTCTACAATGGCTGGCTGGATAGATGAGAGGAGAGCAGTGGATGTCATCTACCTGGACTTCAGCAAGGCTTTTGACACTGTCGCCCATGATATCGTGATAGGCAAACTCAGGAAATGCGGGCTGGATGGTTAGGTGAGTTGAGAACAGGTTGCATGGCAGGTCTCAGAGGGTTGTGATCATTGGCATAGGGTCTAGTTGGAGGCCTGTCACTAGTGATGTCCTCCAGGGAGAAGTACTGGATCCAGGAGTGGCTGATACCCCAGAGTTCTGTACTGCCATTTTCTCAACAGGTTGGAGAGATGGGCAGAGAGAACCACCTGAAATTCATCAAAGGCAAGTGCAAGGTCCTGCACTGGGGAGGAATAGCCCCAGGCACCAGGACAGACTGGGGGCTGTTATGCTGGAAAGCAGCTCTGCAGAGA